GCCACAACAGAATTGATTGAAATGAATATATTGGAGGAGCGAGTTGCACGCCACAAATCGGGTTGCACGCCGCAACAGAATTGATTGAAATGAATATATTGGAGAAATGGGTTGCATGCCGTAACAGAATTGATTGAAATGAATATATTGGAGGATCGGGTTGCACGCCGCAACAGAATTGATTGAAATGAATATATTGGAGGATCGGGTTGCACGCCGCAACAGAATTGAATATGAATATATTGTGGGATCGAGTTGCACGCCACAACGGAAACTGATTGAAATAATAATTGGTTATGACTGCCGAGTTGGCTTCAACTGTTGAAAAGAGACACATGTTTTATTTCTATTATTGTTGTTATTATTGTTATTGCATACAGGTTAATGTATGTGACTTGCCTTAGCCTCGTCACTACTTCGTCGAGATTAGGCTCGGCACTTTCTGGGTACATGGGGTCGGTTGTACTCATACTACACTCTGCACTTTTTGTGCAGATACCGAAGTTGGTCCCAGAGGCGTATAATAGATTTGCTCGGATTCAGCTATTCACAGGAGACTTGAGGTATAGCTGCATGGCGTTCGCAGTTCTGAAGTCCTCTTCCACTTTATCATAGCTGTGTATTTCTTTCAAACAACTTTATTTTTATTAAGACCTTTATTTGTATTATTCTAGTAGCTCGTGCACTTGTGACACTAATTCTGGGATGGTATTTAGGCATCGCTATTATTATGGATTATTCACTATATTTCAGACATTACTTCCGCATTTATTTATTTGTTATTAATTAATTTAAAATTATTTAAAAATGGCTAATATTATTCTAACGTTGGCTTGTCTAGCAAGTGAAATGTTAGGCGTCATCACAGTTCCGAAGGTGAAATTTTGGGTCGTGACAAGTATATAATCTATGAGCCCGTTTGGCCATAAATTGATTTTTTACCTTTTTTCGAATTTGTTTTTCACTTTTTTTCGAAATCGGAGTTTGGCCATAATTTTTCAATTTTTAATTGAAGATGAATTTTAGAAGTTTTCGAAAATTTGAAAAACTCCAAAAAATTGATTTTTAAAATTTTCACTCAAATTATTCACAAAAATTTAAAAACAACCCAAAATTATATTTATGTCCAAAGACAATTTTAATTTTCAAATACCATTTTCATAAAAAGAAAAAAAATTCATGTTTTTTGAAATTTTACAATTCTTATGTCCAAACACCCACTATGTATGTCGATTAAAAAAATAAACAATAAATTCAGCACGGCTGTACGTGTCCTCCATCAAAATACTATATTTTACATGATTTACTACTCCTATTTCGTTTGGCATACTTTGCCAGTAACTTCAAATACGAAGCATAACTTTTCAAAACCTTGCACCCTAGCAAGTAAAAACTTCAACATAAAAGTCGATAAATTATTTTCTTATTCTTCGAACATATATATACTGTCATGGGCGGCTTTCCAGCCATGCCCCGTGACCTCTTGGACGTGCCCCGTGGCATTCTGGTAAGCCTCCAAACGCCTAGCGCTACGGACGGCCCTGTGGTCTTGGCTGCGCCAAGTGACAAGTGTGCATGTGCCTCTGTCGCCCCATCGATATCCCTCGCCAGCGCCCAGCCGCAGACAGATACCAACAGCGCCGCGTGCACAGATCGTGATGCCAAAGACAAGATTGCAGATAACAGACCTGTTTCTACCTTGTAGAAAACTAAGTCCTTTTCATTGTAAATATAGAGTAGTTTTATTCCATGTATTTCCATTATGATTCTCTAGCTTAGATAGGTAAGTCTTGTAACTTTGGTTTATTTTTTTAAGCATTATTAGGGGATCAAGCAATCAAAACTTTCTAGCAAGCAAACAATTCTCTGTAGTGGTGTCTCTCCCCCTCGACACCGTGTTGTCTTTCTGTAATAGCTTTCATTTATACAATCAAGCTTTCTTTCAATTGTCATTTCTGTTCTCTCAATTGCTATTGACATTGGTTTTCCTGTACGACACTGACAATCTCGTCTAGCGTACGAAGGAGACCTCAGTTGGCAGACAACAACTGCACTGACATCAGTTGCTTAGCCTTACGTCGCCCTTCCGAGGAATCTCACGAAAGCTCCGCGTAACCATAAGTGTGCTCGGTTTAAAGCTTGGGTTTGACAACGTCCTTAAGTATGCAAATATTAAATTGATCTCTACTGCTCCTATAAACAGTAAATTGTTGCTTTTTTCCAAGTCTGTACATAATTTATTGAAAGTGAAAAGAGTGTTGCATGCTCTTATCGTGTGCACATAAACACTTTTCTCTATATATTTTGGTTGATTCGTTTGCAGCTTTAGAGAGACTGCAAATTTTGCAGCTAAAGAAATGAAAGAAAAAAAGCAGAGGGGGAAAGCTAAGGTAACACGGAATCGTACTATAACACTTTTGATGAAGAAAGTCGGGAATTAAATATAAGGAATAAAGAAATGAAAAACGTACAATGGTTGCTTGCTTTTACACAAAAAATACTGCAGCGTGCAGTGACATGAATAACTGAACCTATATTATGCAAACGGGACTTAATAAAGTGGTGATTTGATTTCATTTTCTATCACATTTCAGTCGTAACAAGAGGGAATTGCTTTATCCGCTGGACTTTTTCCCAATCCTGATATTTGACAGTTCATCACGCGTGCGGTACACGGCGACCCTTTAACCAGAGTCCCGAACCAAAATAATGAGTTTTTGGACTCAAGGCATAAAAATAGGTGGGAAAAAAAGTTAGTGACCAAAATACATATAGCGCAACGGCCGTTTGTCCGTTAAGGTATAACGCCATTTAAAAAAGCGTTATATTTGAATATGAAAAGACGGGTAAGTATAGCGTCGTTTATTAAGGCGCTATAGTATAACACCTTAATAAACAACACTATACATACATAATAAATCGTCTTCTTCCCTTCCCCACCAAACCAGAACACCCCCCCCCCCCTTAAAAGTTAAAAAAACAGGCGGTCCCCCCCATTGACCACGAAAAAACCTCAAGTGGACCCCACCTGTCCCACAAAAAGTAAAGATTTTCGGTCTCACATCCTAGCTAAGGCGTTCTCTCGTTGTGGGTTGCTCATTTCGGCTCTAAATTGCCAAATCTTCAACTTTCCTAAAACCTTAAATCGAGGTATTCCGACTTAGTTTTTATTGAAACTCGTATAAAAATGCATATTTGTTGTTTATAATGTGTTCTATGTTGTTTTGTGATTGTTTTGCGATATAACTATTTTGTTATTTTTATCCGGACTATGATATTAGTGTGCTAAAAAAATAGTAAAAATAGAAAAATTATTATTAGTTGTTAAAAAAATATTAATATGTTACTTTTTACTGTGGTATATGTATTTTCGTGAATGCTTTGTGATTAAATTTATTTGTTGTTTTTATCTGGTTTAGATTATTTATTTGCTTAAAGACTAGTAAAATAGATAAATTGTTACTTTAGTTCCCTCTAGTGATATCTTGTGGCCTAATATATGCTTGTATTTGTAATGTAGTGCCCTTTTAGCGTAGTAAAATGTAGTGCCCTTTAGCGTAGTATCCTTGTAGTTATTGAAATTAATCATTTAAGTATCTATTATATCCAAAAAATACGTCAAAATAGCCGATAGTTCAAACACAAACTCTGTCCAATTCTAGTCAACGATCGTAAGAAAATAACATGTGAAAACAACAAAAATTCAGGATATCTTGGTGCTACTGGGCCTCAAATATCGAGCCCGGAACTCATATGTAAATATTTAATAATTAAATCTTGTATAATTATAAAAATTAATTATTTAATTTTATTATAGTAAAAAATAAGTGAATCAAAAATAAAAATATATAATAATAATAAAACTAACATATAAATTAATAAAACTAACATATACAATATTAAACTAATATATAAATATTAGACATGTTGAGTGATAAATCGAGAAACTTTTCTCATCATGAACACAAGAATTCAGGATATCTTGGTATTATTGGGCCTCAAATATCGAGCTTGGAACCCATATGTGAATATTTAATAATTAAATTTTGTATAATTATAAAAATTAATTATTTAATTTTATTATAGTAAAAAATAAGTGAGTCATAAATAAAAATATATAATAATAAAACTAACATATACAATATTAAACAAACATATAAATAATAAACTAACATTTAAAATAACAGACATGTTGAGTGATAAATCGAGAAATTTTTCTCATCATGAATACAAGAATTCAGGGTATCTTGATGCTACTGGGCCTCAAATACCGAACCCCAAACCTATATGTGAATATTTAATAATTAAATCTTGTATAATTATGAAAAATAATTATTTAATTTTATTATAGTAAAAAATAAGTGAGTCATAAACAAAAATATATAATAATAAAACTAACATATAAGTTAATAAAACTAACATGTACAATATTAAACTAACATATAAATAATAAACTAACATTTAAAATAACAGACATGTTGAGTGATCAATCGAGAAATTTTTTTCATCATGAATAGAAGAATTCAGGATATCTTGGTGCTACCGGGCCTCAAATATCGAGCCCGGAACCCATATGTGAATATTTAATAATTAAATCTTGTATAATTATAAAAATTAATTATTTAATTTTATTATAGTAAAAAATAAGTGAGTCATAAACAAAAATATATAATAATAAAACTATCATATAAATTAATAAAACTACTAACATATAAATAATAAACTAACATTTAAAATAGGAGAAATGTTGAGTGATAAATAGAAAAAAATTTCTCATCATGAATACAAGAATTCAGGATATCTTGGTACTAGTGAGCCTCAAATATCGAGCCCGGAACGCATATGTGAATATTTAATAATTAAATCTTGTATAATTATGAAAATTAATTATGTAATTTACAAACAAACATATAAAATAATAAAACTAACATGTAAAATAATAAACTAACATATTAAAGTAAAATAATGTAATTAATCTTGTTTAATTTACAGTAGACGACATGGAGGTTCCGCCTTTGCATCTAGGACCTGCCAGCCTGGAGCTACTATTGTTACAGGGCGATCATAGGTCGTCCCACATATGGGAGGGACAGTTACTGGCCCAGACTTACCGCGTCAGGAGAGTAGACGATATGTGGGGCTTTCTCAGGGACCGCGCTCTCCATCCCCGTATAGTCAGGCGCCTCCAGGATACAGGCTTTTATAGGATTGTGGAGATCGGCCGACTGCAACTCGATTGGTCGTTGATCACGGCCCTGATAGAGTGGTGGCGACCGGAGACGCACACACTCCATTTGCCCATTGGCGAAGCCACCATCACGCTGCAGGATGTGGAGGTCATGTATGGGCTGCCCGTTGATGGACACCCTGTTGCTCTGTCGCATGCCATGAGAGAGCAGATAGGTTTGCAGTACCTGAGCATGCTGCAGCGGCTCACCGGTTTACAGCCACCGGAGGAGACTGCACTGGTTGGGGCCAGTCGTCTGCAGTTGACGACTGTCCGATAGCATTTGGAGGCATTGCACCCTGACATCACAGACAATACACCGGAGCTTCATATTCACTGGTATACGAGGTTGCTGCTACTCCTTATGTTTGGAGGGGTTTTGTTCTCGAACACTTCGGGGAACCTACTCAGCTTGAGATTTCTTCATCATCTTGAGCGGCTAGATGATTTACCCAAGTACAGTTGCTGCTGTTCTCGGCTACTTGTACATGCAAATATGTCGGGCGAGCATGGGCACCCAGCGTGACATTATTGGATTTTTGCCGCTGCTACATGTGAAAACATATTCGAATACTCTATTCATTATAACATACCCAGTAAAAATATACCTTAAATTTTACGCCAACTTTGTATGTTAGGTTTAGGCCTGGGAGCGGTTCCTACAGTTGCAACCACCTCTACCACCATTAGCTCCGGCTGTACCACCTCTGTTTCTCCCTCTAGCTAAGAGGTGGGTTGATAGGCGGGATATGGACGAGAGTACGAGGCTCGACATAATCTCCCCTTATGCAGGGATTTGTTGGATTTGCTGGAGGGCGCACAGGTAAATGTATACCTAAGTTTACTTGGCCTGGCTTCATATGTGTTGCGTATACTCACGTTTTGTGTTATTATTTAATAGTTCATTTGGAGACCACACAACGATGAGCTAATAGCTGGTTTGCCCGATTATTGCTCGGTCAGCCGAATTATGTGGAGCTCTTCCGTCCCGTTGATGTGCCTTGATATTGTGGAGCATCATGCCACCAAGCGAGTATTTCGCTAGTTTGACTACCCGCAACTTGTACCGCCACCGTCCGCCTGGCATATCACACATTACCAGCGGGATGATCATTCCAGGGTGGACCAGACATATATGGCATGGCTAGAGGCACAAATCGATACTTGGGACCAACGACATGACCCAATTCTGCCTCCCCTCCACCTAACAGGACAGAGACTGAGCATGATTATATGGGCTGGTACCGCAGCGTTACCCGACTTTTCATCGAGAATCCCATTTATCGCGCTGGCGATTGGTATGTTCCATATGCCGGGAGGCACGAGGCACTGGTATGTTATTTGGTATACTTACTTATAATGTTAACCAGGCGTTCCGTAATTTATATTTTACATGTTGTGCAGGCTATTGGCCTATATCTGTTCCACCAGTTGGGACTGCAGATGCATCAGCATACCGGTGAGGGAGCAACCACTTTGCACGAGTATGGTCGGCAGGTTACCGGTCTGGCTTCCCGGACATTGAGGCGAGCCCGAGATGATGAGCGATTAGGATACGAGGCTGAGTATGTGGCGCCAGAGCAGTACCATCATGGGCCACCAGTGGAGCCAGAACGTGGTCGACGTGGCAGGCGTGCCCATGAGGTAGGGGTGTCCCACGAGGTCGTAGGGGTCGGCGAGGAGGTGGTCCCCAGCGAGGGGGCGTTGAGGAACCTGTTGAGGATGTTGGAGTTGATCAGCCGGGTGACCTCCATGAGCCACACCACTCTCACAGCAGCATGCCGTCATTCAGCCTTCAGCTTCAGCTCACTCCAGGGACTTTGCAGTGACCCCATCATCTCCACCGTTGATCACGGGCACGAGCATTACGTGAGAGGATTGGGATCAGTATTTTCCTGATCTTCCAGGCCCATCGACCGTTGCAGATGATCGGCCGACACGAGATGTGGCCGACTGGGTTATGGCTCATCATCGAGGGATGCTGGGGATCTTTCACAGGCGCAGGTATGTTTGTATTACTATTACATTTAAATTTGTTTTTATCTCATTGATTAGCCATAAATATCTTTATATTTTTTATTAAGGTTGCATCCTCGCCCGTCACGGAGGCCAATTTGTGCGATACTGACCTGGCTGCGCCGGATGATTATATTCAAGAGCCCGACGAGACCATGGTAAGACCATTTAAATTTTTGTGACTTAACACGTACATTACAAATATATATTTTCATATACTGAAATATCTTATTATTATGTTGGTTACTGCTGGACAGATGGCCCCTTCTATCGATCCTGCCAGCCCTACTGATGATCATGCTGCAACGCATCCTCCGATAAAGAAGCTACGTGATTAGGATGATCCTGATAGTGTAGCTGGGCGGGATGGGATGCGCCTCAGGCCAACGGCTGCATTAAAGCATACAGGATGTGGGACGCATTGATTATTTTTGTATTTTATGTACATATGACATTTAGTAAATAATTGCAATAATTTTTATTGTTTACATTATATGCGCATTATGTTTTTATTTCTCCGGTTCTTCATTATTTTAATACTACAACACAAACATAGCAACTTAATATATTTAAATTCAGTGCAACTAATAAAAATATATGACATGGAAAACATAAAGATAAAATACTACAATCAACAGATACATGTATTTCCTTAGTCACTACCGCCTATTATTCTCTGCTCTAACCACTTAAATTTCTCTTCCATTTTATTTTTTTCTTCTTCCGCCTCTTTTAGTTTCTCCTGCAATGCCGCAATTTCTCGTTGCATTTCAGAGATCTAGCATTAGTATTCACTATTCATATTCCAAACATACTGCAAACATGATTTATAGTATTCCTGGTTAATGGTTCATCATACCATTCCTCAAACATACAATGATTTCCGTCATTGCGTTCAAACCTGTATAGGCACATCCAGTATCTGCGCCCAACATTACCATCGGACCAACATGCCTTCATAATCGCACGTTTGCCACAATAGCACCTTGGTTGGTCATTGCGTCCAGACATTTATTAATGCAAGAAAAATAAAAAATGTATGAAAAGTTTTGCTATTTGTTTTGGTTAAGTGCAGATAATAACTAAAATGCGCTAGTTATTTATAGGCAAGACAACCCACATAACGTAGTAGTTAACCGCGCTATGCTTCGCGTATTAAGGATTCTTTCGGGTACAATACAACTTTTCAAGAAGATAGCTTTTGCAGGCGAGCAACTTTTTCAGGTCGACAAGACAACACACATAACGTAGTATTTAACCGCGCTATGCTTCGCGTGTTAAAGATTCTTTCGGATACAATACAACTTTTCCAGAAGATAGCTTTTGCAGGCGAGCAACCTTTTTAGGTCGACAAGACAACACACATAACGTAGTATTTAACCGCGCTATGCTTCGCATGTTAAAGATTCTTTCATGTACAATACAACTTTTCCAGAAGATAGCTTTTGCCGGCGAGCAACTTTTTCAGGTCGACAAGACAATTGTTTTTAAAAAAAAATGGGTTTATGTTAGATTGTTGTACTGAAGTATTAATGTTAAATATCAATAAGATCTAATAGTAATGGAAATATAATTTTATTTCATACATTCTGTAAGATAACCAAGTACATACACTTATTACAACCACCTTATTGAAACAAAACACTACGTGTGCATCCTTGATAGTTGGGCACATTAGATAAACTTCCACCAGGAGATGGATTACCATCGCCACCCAAACCAGCTGAAGGACATTTACGACGGTTGTGTCCTATTTTCGAGCATTTGCCATATTTGCGCGCATAAACGATATCACCAACATCCATTTAGTTCCGTATACGCGTTCGTTTTTGCACTTGTCGTTGACGCAAAAACTCCTTGTTACACACCATTTTAAATAGTTCTGGCGGTCAATAATGCTCAGCACCCACTGGCTGCAACTGCCCACTATAGGTGTTTAAGTATGCAGCAACACTATATTCTTTATCAGCGTAGTTGGTTGGCCCTAACCTTGTATGTTGAAAGCACTTGATGGCATGTGAGCACGACATGTGGTAGATGGACCATTTCCCATAAGAGCATAACCTTTTGGATTCATTTACGGTGTGTGTATTATTCCCCCGGTTGTGATGGATAGCGGTGCGAACTTTAAAAATATTTCGCTCGTTGCAATACTGCAAAAATGAATGCCAATGTGCTCGCTTCCTGAATTTATCAAATCTTTTCATTGGTATTGGCATAAATTCAACACCCCTTTCCATCAATGACGATGCACTTGTATCCCTTTCAACAAAACTCTCCGCCATCAACTTGAATGATATCCGCACCATAGCAGTGACAGGCAATCCTCGTGCAGACTTCAATAACCCATCAGAATTCCCCATCTTCTTCCACCATCCGCATGTTAAGTCCACTTGTCAAGCTCATGTCACATCAACTAACAATAGGCTCCCTCGTCTTCCTGGCTGATCGATTCCATGCGCCTCCTGAATTTGCACTCTTGGTGATTTGTTGCAGCCATCCACATTAAACCATGCAAATCCATGTTGGGATATGCCTTCTAGAAATTGGCCTTCAGTGCCTCACACAGTAACGGTGGTAGGCATACGGTTCCTGCCATGTATGCAAATTCTGCACATAACTTAAAATACCACCATGCCGATCAGATATTAGACAAAGACCTGATTGATGTTTGATAACATGCTCTTTCAAGTGGTTCAAAAATAGTGACCACGTCTTTTGGCTTTCATTGGCACAAATAGAAAAAGATAAGGGAAATATACTTCCATTAGCATCTACTGCAACAGTGATCAATAACTTAATATCATACTTTTCATAGACACAAGTGTCGTCTATGGATATTACCGGCCGGCAATGCACAAAACCATTAATTGCTGGTTTAAATACCTAGAACACGTATCTGAATATGTATTCTAGTATTCTCGGACTCTGCGCAAGCTTCCATTCAACAACAGTCCCGGGGTTAAAGTGTTGCAATGCATCCATGTACCTGGGTAAAGATGCAAATGACTTATCCCAGTTACCATAAACAATTTCAAATGCACGTTTGCGCCCGAGAAATGCCTTTCTTTTGGTAATGGTGCACCCATATTCCTGGTGGACGGATGTAATACACTCTTTGATCTTGTACCTTATGGACGCTTCAATGTGTGGAATCAAGATAATAGAAATCAAGTCAACATCCAAGTTGAAATGATTCCCACTGAATGTGTCCATTTCACAATTGTGGGTGCCAATGTATTTACCCACAACCCACATATTTGT